AGAGAGAGAGAGAGAGAGAGAGAGAGAGAGACCTGCAGCATGCAGCATGTCAGTGGCGGGGAGCACAAGGGCAGGCGCTGACCTCCAAAAAAAAACAACTAGAAAGGGTACACGTTGTTTCGAATACAACGTGTACGTGTTCTATTCTATTTGAGTTGTTGTGGCATTCGAGAAAAGTGGACCCGCGCCGTTTCAATTTCGAAAAAGGCTTAAGGATCGCAGCCCCGTCGACCTCCTAAGGGAAGCTACTAGTCCTACGCAGTCCTATCCCTTGCAAGGCCCCAAAACCTCAAAATGCCCACCCTTCCGACGACCACCGACGTTGAAATTTGAGTGACATTGAAATGTTTTGGGGGGGGAAATGCAACCCTGACGGGCTGCGAGCTAACCTCATTCTCCAGAGTAAATTAGGGCCTTGAAACTGCCCTTAAAACTGGTCGGGCACCAGTCCTCATCACCCTAAGTTCCCTAGCCTCGTTCTCCAAGGTGAATTAGGGCCTCTATGAGGCAAGTCAGAGGGCTTGCTCATCCACTCGTCAACGGATAACTTCATTCTCTAGGACGAATTAGGGCCTCCATGAGGTGAATTAGGGCCTTCCTCCATACCATGACGTGGTGCGGGGTGTTTCTCATTAAACTACTACCATTACTCCAACTCACCAAACTCACACTCTCACCACATTGCCATGCTCCTTCAGCTGGTCAGGACTGTGTGCAGGCAGGGGCGAACTCACCGCCTACTCACCACTTCTGGTGAGCCCAGGACAGGAGGCACTCACCACTTTTGGTGAGGCCCAAAAAGGCGGCACTCACCAGTGTTGGTGAGCCCCGTAGAGGAGGCACCACAACCCTGCCTCTGCCAAAAAGGTGGCCTTGGTAAGCAACCACGGCCCACTCACCACAGAGAAAATTGACTTACCTGAGGGTCTGGATGCACAACCCGTAGTTTGCTTGTTGATGTGGTTGGGGAAGGGTGATGTAGTGATTATGCTGAGTTTTTGTTTTGTCATGTTCGTTGTACACAACTCCAAGAGTGTGGGGGGGGGGGTCCCGGCTGGTGCTTTATTCATGATGTTCCTAGAACGTTGGACCCGGCTTCCGGCAGGTGTTGCTCCCCACAAATAGACAAGAGCATTTTGCCATAAGTCCACTATAGGGGGATGCTCACATCACCCCCTCTAGTGGGCTTCAGCGAAACTTTTGATGGAGGGAAGGGGGGGGGAAATGTGTGTGTGTGTGTGTGTGTGTGTGTGTGTGTGTGTGTGTGTGTGTGCGTGTGTGTGTGTGTGCGTGTGTGTATGTGTGTATTTTATGAGAACAAAATGCCACCTTAACGCTAATCGCGACGAATTGTGTTCGAAAGTGCGATCAAAAGTCATACCAGGACATAAGAGTGATCCGCATCATGTGGAGAAGGCACCTATATCCCAAACATGAAAGGAACAACACATGTCCATACATTGACCTCTATCATTCACCAATTCTACCAAGACCTAAGGACTATGGCCCAAAGGAACTACTCCACAAGACCGTAAAAGGAAAGCAAAAGACAATAACAATTAGCAACAACACAGGGCAGTACACCAAAAAAAAACAACAACACAAGACAATCAACAAGGCATAGAACAACGTGCAGCAGCGAATGACAAAGGTTGGAGGACACGGGGGAGGAGGGTGGGCACACAAAGGCATGGGGCAACAATGCATGGCAAATGCAAAGGCTGAAGGGCACGGAGAAGGCAGGTAGGCATACGACACACAAGCAGACAAAGCAGGCAAACCAAAAAAATGCAAGTCCTAAAACAAGCAAAGACCGAAGAAAAAAAATATTGGTCATAGATTGTTTTGTTAGAGTTGCACCGATTCATCAGGAGGCTGAACCCTCGTCAATCTGCGGAATCTCTGTATTGGATGGTTTGGGTCATGAACCCTTTGACCTATGTTGAAGGCAAACTGTCCCCAAGCAAAACGTAGCAGCGGGCAGCAACCCTGTGAAGCACCAGGCAATGCAGTAGAGGCAACACGGTTGCATAATGCCAAAAACGACTGCAAGGAACAACACGGCATGCAGGACACACAGCGCGGCAACTACACAGGGAAGCACAAGGCAACATCACTAAGATAAATACGTTGCAAGGGGCGACAGGGCAAGCGGACAAGCAGCAAAGCAACCATGCAGTGAAAAACGAGGCAACACCGACAAGGAACGAACTACAAGGCGCGCAATCAAAGAACACAGAAGGCATGGCCAGTGGATGAGCGGCAAGGTAGCGGAACAACGAAGCACAAGGCAACACCAAGAACACGACCACACCACACAATGAACACATCAACCTGCAAAGAACCACATGCAAAGCAAGCAGGACAGGCAACAAGGCAACGGCGGAGTGCAGACGAGGCAGTCCACGCATCCAACACGGAGCAAAGCAGCACATCACCTACTCAGATCATGATTGAGCACCGCAGATTATTGGCTCCCAACCCCCACTGAGCCAAGGAGTCACATCGACGAGCATCCGTTAACACCCACAGACAATACATACATCCTGAAATGAGCCCC